TATATTTTTATTTTCAAACTGCGTATCCCGGGATTATTTTTTTTTTCCACTAACCGAGTATAGTTATTAACATAATAATATATATCTGATGGACTCTTCCGTTGTACTCGACGTATTAAAGTCAGAATCTCACTTCCTAGGAACCGACAGCCAGACACCAGAACATATGATTTGATTATATTGGTGAAGGTTTTGTGTAGAACCAACCACACTATTTGAAGGGCTGAATACAGAGATCTGGTACACTACGTGCCACAAGGTCTCCAAACAGGCTTTCGAGTTGTCCTTCTAGACCAGTTGCCATCCTAGGCTTTAGGATCCATTCTATCCTGCTAATCACCCATAGCTGGAGGGAGAAGAAGAGGATTCATACCTTTCCCAAGGTTATTAGCACGTAAGTGAATGTAATGGATTCAACTGGATTTCGAACACTGCTTTAGGCCAATACATTATTTTTATCGACATTGAAGCCTAGTGATGTGATTTCAAAGGAGATTCACTGGTTTTCGAACTGGTTTTTACCTTAACATTCACTGAGTTTAGTTGTTGCGTTTCCATAATGCCGCGCCAATTTACTTGTAGTAGAAATTGTTCAAACGCTTTTCGGACTACACCGTAGACATTCAGCGATTTGCCTATCATTGGTTCACCTCTACTATGCTGAGCTCACGATTTTTATAGGAATCTCACTTTTTTTTTCGGACTGCTTTGTGTTATATCATTTATCGTTTTCATTTGCAACTTTCACATGCAACACCAATGATATTCTAACGACCTTTTCGGGAAAACAATAATAAATCAACGTATAATAAAATTTCCCGGAATATAACAGAAACATGTGTTTCTGAACATATATTGTTATTTATTTAATTCTTTCAGAAATTAACCAATCGCTTGTGCCAAAATCTAGCAAAAATTATATTGTTTTATCAAGTCACAGAAATCATTTTTATACTCTCTTTCATGATAGTTTAAAGTTTCTCATTGAACGAAAAAAGTGTTAAGGACGATGAGAACGAAATGGGTACTTTTTCTTCGGATCAGAAGAATCCAACTGAAACATCTGGGATAAATAATAAGCTTAGGAGAATTTAACACTCAGAGGACATAAGGAGGGCAAGAGGAGTAGAGGGAAAAAACGAGTAACCTACCTAATAATCTTGTATAAATGAATGACAAAACATCAGCAGAGAGTGATAGTAAGGGAACAGATACTGCTTACATCTCTGAAGGATTGGGAGTTTTGGAAAGCCATGATCGCCTAGATTCTGAATAAACGAAGAAAGGTCTAAATTTTCATATCTGGTAAAGAGGTAAATATTGTTTAGATGAACAAATGATAGAAAGTTGTGGAATGCCATGACCATCCACATACTGAAGTCAAATAAAAAGAGGAAGAAAGATTAAAGTTAGCTGCCTTTCTTGGCCAACTGCTAACTTTTGAATAAGGTTCTACATTTGAATCCAATCTTTGTGTGGCAAAAAATAAGTTTAATGACTCAAGTGTCAGTCATAAATGTCCGCCAGAAAGGCAAATGTTCATGTTTGAATGTAGTTCGCATGGTGGGCACAACTCACTTGTAAATCATTATGAAAAGACGTCAAAACTAATTCCACGGCTATTAAAACTGTTAGATCCCATCAAAAGTCGTGTGATAAATTTAGCTGCTTTAAAAATTAAAAAAAATGTTTTATGAAACACACATATTGATACGCTTAAACACGGCTCTGTATATTTGATAGGAGCTTCATTTTTTTTCTGAATGAACATTTATAAAACGGTGTATCTCTTCTTTTTTTTTCTTGTTTATCAATGTCTCTCTCTCTCTCTCTCTTCTTATATTCTTTATGCGTGTGCGCCTGCGCATTATAAACTTAGCATGATTCAAACCATGCAAATTTACCTGAATAATTGAAAGCAGTCATCCTTGATGAGGGTCGTGAGTTGGTGCTAATTAAGAGCGAAGCTGATGAGAGCATCTAAAGGAACTGAGTAGGAAGCAACCGGGGGCATGACCTGTCTGATCAGGGCCAAGGCGCATCTAACTCGACGACTGACATTTTGATTAATGCTGCCTTGTAGACACAAGCTCACGCTTCTAAAGCCACACCCCTCTTTCATTTTTCTTACTCTCTTTGCTTTCCCAAGGTAAACTAACAAGAAAAGTACCTTCGAAAAGAAGAGAAAGAAATAAAGAAGAGAAAGAAAAAGATGAAAGTCAGAGAGAAAGAAAGAAAGAATAGATAAAATGCTGGTATATAGTTTCTCGCTGGGCATTCTGGGAGCGGAAGAACCTCAGACAGTTAGAGTATAGCCTAAAGGTGGTATGAACTTAATAATACAGGCTTCCTTCCCCATAACATATGTTAGCGACCGCTTAACCATCTTTATCTGGGCAGCCACGTGCCAAAGAATAAAAATAAATAAATAAATACTGCGCACGCGCACACTTAACGATATGAATATAGACGAAAGTCACGACAGAGACAGGTTTATACTGTTCAACAGTTCAAGACCCACGGATATATATATATATATATATATATATATATATATATATATATATATATATATATATATATCAGTACACGCCAAAATGTATCCCCATAGAGAGCGTTGTGTCATTTTCATATTCTTTCAAATAGGCGAGGGCTTACTTGAATATCAGCGATCGAAATCCAGATCTTTTACTTGGTATCGATCGTATACCAAACACAAACTCCGATAACATATACACACTTATTTCGATCTTCTTCTATAAGTGCCGTATACCCTCAGGTCGTAGGCGATCATGGCTCTCCACAACTTCCTGTCCCTTGTAGTTCATAATAAACTTTTTTTCTACTATTTCTCCTTAGCCCTGTTCCGCCATCCAAAACTCAAGCTCACTAAATATGTTATGCGTTGTTTTCCTCTGTCCCTCTTGCCTTCTATATGTCCCGTGAGTATCCGACTTTCCAAGCCCTCCTTCCTCATTATATGCCTCAGAAACTGTCTCTTCCTTATGTTAAGTTTTTGTTTTCAATTTCTCTAAAACTTAGTCGTTGCTCACATGTTTAGTTCACGAAATCCTTAGCATCTTTCTGTAGAACCACATTTCAATTGCTTCAAGTTTCCTCTTCATATTTAAGTAGATCGTCCAACACTCACTGCCATGCGGGAGAACATATATCACGTTAGTTTAGTACTTTTTTCCTTGTTTCTAGCGAGCTTCTTTTATTTCTTAGTACTCTATACGAACTTTAAATTAATACGACACAAGATCAAATAGCCGAGGTTTCCTAACGGCCAGACATCCGGGGCCCTAGCAATTAACGCAATCTTCCCCTGGGGTGTCTTCCTGGACCTACTCCCTTTTTACTTCACATAAATGATCTGCCTAAATTTATACTGCAATTGTGTTGTAGAGTAGTTTTCACAGTGGAGGCTTGTATTTCGCTAAGTCGGTCCTAAAAAGGTTCGACGTACAAAACGTTAGGAACTTGTTATAATAGTTAATGACGCAGCAATCTAGTTGTGATGGTTGATACTTTAATGTCCGACATCGACTGACTCACCAACTCCACTGAGCCCCCTGGCGACTGCTACTACTACTATTTATTATATGTGGGAGAGTCTATTAACAATAGAATAGGTATGTTCTTGTATAACAAATTGTTTGTGAATATCTATGCTCTTGATACCACAGTATATGGGTGCAACTCCAAAAAACCTTAATAACCTGATATTGGCAGCTGATCTATTTTCCTATCTAGCTTTAACATCTCAGTGGGGGACAACTGGCTAGTTATATTCAATGGCTTGAATACCAAGCTAGTTACATTAAATTATCGCCGATTGGACCCTGAACAAACACAAGCCAAGATGAATGGATATCCACCTCGGGTAGGACCTATGCCTTGAACAGTTATTGGGCGTTAAACTCAACCCAGACCGCAAGTGAAACTCGTATATATGATCCATCGCCAAGAGGCAGGAACAATAGTTGGTTGCCTCTATTGCTCCAGTAAGTACCTAACTCCTCGTGATATTCATACGTTTACAAGAACCATATCAGGCCTAAAATGGAGTACTGATGTCATATTTGGGCATGAGTTATCTATTCCTCGTTTTCCAGTCTCAATACCGTTGCCGTCCCCTCGTGGCTGACAAATTATTTTCCACCCTGCAACACCTCTCTCACAGGAGGAATGTAGCAAACAGCTCATTGCTACTTCCTTGGCAAGTGCTCTGACGAACTATATTCCTTAGCTCTACCAGTTCACAGTTAGGATCCGCCATGCTACACACATTGTAGCACGCCACCCACATTCCCTTCGTATTCAAGTGGTGAAAAGTAAGTTCCACACGAGCATCTTCTTCCTACGCTCTGTGGAACCGACTGCCAAGTAGGTGTTTTTCTGATCACTATAATCTTAACTTGTCTAGAGTTAACCGTTATCTCCCCCACATATCTGCATAAACTGTTCCTCTACCTCGAGTAGCCCCCAACCCATCTACATGGTGAACCCCACCATAAAAAAATAGGGTTGGAAGTTTAGGTTTCCGTGTTATTCATTGTTTTACTTATTATCATCTCCTTTATTTTATTTCCACTGTTTTTTTATCGCCAACGCCATTTACTTATTCTATACCTGTTGAGAAATCAGCATGGATCAGAAAAGGATATAATAATAGAGAATCATAAAGATTCGGCCACGAAATCTAACTGGCCGACTTCAATCAGAATTTATTTATGTATTTTTTTTTACTGCACATCAACTTTTTGTAGGTTATTTAAAGCCAGGAAATGTTTTTAGATTTCAAGAAATTTAAGATATAACAATGGCTTACTGATATAAGCTAAACTAATTAATCTAAGGCTGGGGTAGGGAGAGCTGGATTCATACCTTTCCCAAGATTATTTGCGCGTAATTAAATATAACGAGTCCAAATGGAACTGGATCACGGATTAACAATTCCGATCCATTATCCTTTACACCACCCGTATATCCAAGCTTCCAAAACCTGGTGTTCCCAAGTGGTTACCCATCTCGATACTAACTACGTTCGACGTTACTTAACTTCGGTAATCGTACAGGAAGTGGTGTTTCAACGTGATATTGCCGTCAGTCTAGAGGCTTTATTCGTTTTATTTTTTTTTAATCGGTATCACCCCATCCAAGGCAATAAAGCCACTAAGACACAAGGGGGTTCCAGAGTGTGGAAGAATTAGGAACAGAAACATTACTTAGGAGAGAGAAGAGTAATCAAAATGACAGTATACAGAGATTGACATTGCATTTATGTTTTTGTAGATTAAAGTTGGCTGGAAAGCACGGAGGCGGGAGGGTGTCCACTAAGGGAGACATACGAGAAAAGAAACTGTTAGCATAGAATTGACGGTTGCATCTAATCAGCTCAACTGTAAATTGATGAGATCTCGACGTTACACTAGTATTGCGCTTAAAATTATAGCAATATGCTCTTGCTGGTGCCTATGCGAATAGGATTGTTTCATTCTTTTCACCTTACTGATGAATTTTAGGATTACTTGTATTCCTTCAATGGAGGGAATGATTTTTTTTTTTAAAGAAAAAAGAAGGAATACCTGAAATGAAAAGAGAAGAAAAAATTTTAACAAATGCAAAAGATGCCAAAAAATAGAAGACATGAAAACAAGTATGAAAATGAAAGAATTAAATTTCAGTCGATAAGCGATCGATGTGTGCAAGAGTGTGTGTGTATTGAATGACCTCCTGTCCATGGGGGGGGGATACAAAACCAGACTTAATTGACCCCAGATATTTTATTTGGTTTTTTATCAAAGGTATATTTTTTTTAATCTGTTCCTTTTTACGTGGCAGTTTTCTTCGTTTTTCATTGTCTGTTTTATACATTTCAGCTTTTCTGTTGTTTTTATTCCGTGTTCCAATTTACTTTCATCTTTCTCATTTTATTCCTTCCTAAGTTTCTTTCACATCATGCTACGTCTCGTTCTTGTAGTTACGACATTCATTCTCTTCTAACCATTTCATTTTATCATCTGCAATCTATCTATCTATCTATCTATCTATCTATCTATCTATCTCTCTCTATATATATATGTGCGTGTGTGTCATTCTATATATCTCTCCCTATGTTTTTTTATATCTATTGATAAATGTATATAACTTTATCAGCATTCTTATCTATCTATCTATCTATCTATCTATCTATCTATCTATCTATCTATCTATTTCAGTCTATTTATATCTATCTCTTTTCACGTTTATTTATGAAAATATGTTTCTTTCATCGTTTAAATCTGTCTATCTAGCTATTACTTTTCACATTTATTTTTTAATCTATATATAATTCTCATCATGTTTGGATCTATCTAACTATTTATTGTAGTTTGTTGCTTTCGATTTATCTATCTATCCATCTCTTTTCACATTAATTTATTAATCTATGTATCTTTCACATCTTCTTTAAATCTATCTATCTATCTATCTGACTATTTCTACCATATTTACTGATAAATCTATACATTTTACTCAGCTTGTATCTATATCTTTTAGCATTTATTAATTAATCTATATATCTTTCTCATCTTGTTTAGATCTATCTATTTATCTATTTTATTGTTGAATGATTTAGACTTTGCGTGCGCTTACTTAGACGACATCATAGTAAGGAGCGAAACTGTCGACGAACATCGAGAGCATCTCAATCAAGTATTTAAAAAGATTCAGGACTTTGGATTTAAAGTCAAAGAGTCAAAGTGCGAATTTGGTTCGGAGGAAGAAAAGATCCAATCCAGAGACTCTGCCCGATTGCGACTAAGTCAACCCATTCTACAGGAACGGTCTTCCCAAGAATATACCAAACTATCTGGAAATATTGTGTACACGTTCTTGTGTCAATACATTTTGTTTAAGTACATTTTGTGTTGTATTATTATTATTATTATTCCATGCTTTATTCAAGTTTCAACATTTATGTTTATCAATCTCAGTTTATATCTACCTTGATATGTACGTATGTATGCATGTATGTATCTATCTATTTATGTTTCTATCGATCTGGTTAGGTAGATAGGTACGTACGTACGTAGGTACGTATGTAGGTTTGGTAGGTAAGTAGGTACCTAACCAGCTGTCTGTCTGGCTTTTTATCTATCTGTCTCTTTTCAAATTTATCAATCTATTTTTCTTAGTTTCTTTATATGGAGAGAGTTAGCTATGTTGTTATCTGTCAGTCTCACTGTCTTTCTTTCTAGCAAAGTTTATTCATATTTAGCTCGCGTCGTGGGATAGTAGGTTAAACGATTTATTATCCATGATTCTCACTGTTGCCTTTTACAAAGAGTTGATATAAACTAATCCAGCAAGGGTTGGCATGACGGAAAATCAAACATTCAACAAAAATATATAGCAAAACGTGTCATTCATCTTAAGTTAATACGTATAATTTGGTAGATCTATATTATCCATTGTGATACAATATACATACATACATATATATATATAGATAGATAGATAGATAGATAGATAGATAGATAGATAGATAGATTAAACAAACATCTTTCTACAAGTATCACATTCATTTTCATCTTGGAATTTTACCCAAAATTACCTGAAATTGAGAAAAAGTAACAACCTATGCCTAAGGATGTTAAATGGTTACCGAAAGTATTTGCAATATAGACCAAATATCCAATCGATTTTACAATTAATAAAAACAAGGATAATGTTCTTCAGTGAGTGGTCAGTGAGTTAATGCCTTATTTAATCTGTTAGAGAAGTGAATTCGCCATTAATTACATTAACTTTATTGATTTATTCTTTGAATAAGTACTTTACACTATATATATATATTGTATTACTTATGTATATTCATATACATATGTGTGTATATATATACATATGTTTATGTATATATATATATATGTATATATACATATGTGTATATATGTGTATATATATATGCATATGTTTATACATATGTACATATGTTTATATATATGTATATGCGTATGTATATATATGTATATACATATGCGTATATATTCATATGTATATATATACACATATATATACATTCATATATACATACATACACACACACACACACACATATATATATATATTATAATATTTTTATTATAATAGATTTTATGAAGAATTTACATCGGTACACAAAAGTTTTCATGTTTCAATATTATGATTGTACTTCGTCAGGTGACCTTAGATAACTTGTGATAAAATATGATTCATTTGGGAAACTTAAAACCAAATCGTTGCTACTTTTCGGAAGTAAAATTTGGAACATAAGGTCAGAATTAAAAATATACTTGTGGGTATATCTAGATTAACCAATTAAAAGACAGATATACGAAAAAAAAAATGGGGTCAGAGGGTGGAGCTGGTTGGGTTATTTTTTCATGTCACGAAAGATTATCTCCCAGACATGTCACCCAACGATTGTTTAAAACAGGGCAACAACAAATGTATTATAATCTTCAAAAATTTAAAAGTCAATCGATATCTTCTGATAAAGTCAATCGATATCTTCTGATGCCTTGATTATCATACCCATCCTTCTCTTTATCCGTTTCTCAAACACCCCTCTTTTCTCTTACTTTCGCTCTCTGTAACCCCTTGAGTGCTAGCGGCACCCCCGCCTCGTTAGAGGTGAAATGCTTTAAAAAAAAGAAATGAAAATAATTGATCGAAAGATCTTTCTCACCACTTTTCTACTGACTGTGTCATTATCGACTAAATGTTTATGACATTTTTCCGATGACTATGAAGTAAAATAAATTATTTGAAGTATTTCGGCTAAGTAGATATCTCATCTAAAATTATATTCATTGTTTCTTTTAGTTTTTTTACTGGATCATCTTATTCTGCCAGTATATTATCTACGTCTACTGGTTTAAGACAATTACCAGAAAGTGATAAGGAAAGGAAAATTATTTAGCGCAGGGCAGCTGACGATACATCTCTCATAAATATTTGATCTCTGTCAGTGTATTGATAAGCAATTCACATTAATTATCTAATAGGAATCAAGAAAGAGAATGGGTTTAAAATAAAACGACTGACGAGATATTTCCCTAAAATGTGATTCTTACTCTACAGGTTCACGGCCATATCACGTTGAAACAGCGGTTCTTGTACAATCACCGAAGTTAAGCAACGTTGTGCCTGGTCATTACCTAGACGGCTAACCTCTTGAGAATACCAGGTGCTGTAGTCTCGCGTGTGCGGGTGGTGCAACAGATAATGGTTTGAAAATCGAGTTCGGAGAGCCGAGTTCTAATTCCAGTCTGGTTCGTTATATTCACTTACCTACAAATAACCTTGGGAACGTTTTGATTCCACCACTTCTTCACCAGCTATGGGTTAATTAGTAGAACGTGTATCAGTAAATTATTATTATCTCAAAATCTAAAAATATTTTCTGGCTTTAAATAACCTACAAAGGGTTGATAATTTGTAAAAAAGCAATCAATCAATATTACCCTACAAGTCTATTGACAAGTTCTTTCGCGAAAGGCCTCAAGGATTGAAGGAAAAGATGTTTTAACATTCCAGATGTTCTCGCCAGTTGTTCACGCCAACTGTCAGATGAAAAAAAAGAATGTCGTATGACTGTTGAAATCTTTCACCTAAAATGCTGTTTCCATTAGGTCTTTTTTACCCTGCCTTTGTATCGACAACTGGTTTATATAACAATTATCAATAGAGATAAAAGGAAAATAATTTTGTAGGATTATGTTGGCTGATGAGATACCCCGCCTATTTTTCCTGGTTTTCACCACAGTATCGACAATGAGTTCACGACATTTCGCTGATGCCTCTGAAGGAAATTATTTTTAATGGTTCACAATCCAACGTCTCTCTCACAGGTAGGATGTGGCGAAACTCTCACTGGTCTGTTGCTACTTCCATGAAAAGTGGTCAGGTGAACTACATTCCTTGGTTCCGTCATGTCTAACCTTCACGGCTAGGACCCGCCATGCAACTTACATAGTAGAAAACCACCCACATTCTCCCCGTATTTTATCAGTGAGAAGAAAATTCCACTCAGACAGCGTCTTCTTCCGAACGACCGCCCTGTAGAACAGACTCCCAAGACGATGTTTTTGCGATCACTACAATCTTCCCCTTTCAAGTCTAAAGTTAACCGTTATCTTCACTCCTTATCCATATAAACTACCCCTTAACGTAACCCTATACCAGGGTCCTTTGCGTGGTGAAACTTACTGTAAAAAAGAAAGTATGGCAACTGACAAGATTTTTTTTTCCTATTCGCATAACAAGTTAATGACTATTCAAATTCAAATGATAAAAACGGCTCCCTTCGAAATTTAATGATTGAGAAGTTATCCTGCCTTAATTATGTTTCTTAGTTTTTTTTTTTGTCAATTAAAAATATAACCAGTTGTATTTAACTGCGTTTAATGCATAGATTGGAATATTAAATAATTTTTTCAGTTCCATGAAATTTAATTAACTTGCTTTCATTATTCATAACTAATGATCAATTCAAGAACAAATAGGCATTATATTTACGAAATTTAGTTTCTAATAGCACAAGTTTAAATAAAAACAAATTTTGGTCGAAAGACTATGTTGCGCCAAATTGCCAGATGGAGACAGCCGCGTACTTTGAAAACCAGTATGTTAAACGTTTATCTTTGTGATGTTTATTTAAAGCTTGCTTTTATGTCTTTAGCTTTATTCTTAATATCCGTTTTTTTTTTTTTTTTTGGTGATGGAGTGGTGGGGGGTCATTCTCTACACCAGATTCTTAAAATATTTTCTTGCTAGTCAATCCACTTTTCGACCAATTCATATGTTTACCTCTTTATGACATTCTGAAAAATATTTTTCTTATCACTTTCCCAGTTCTGTCATATATTTTCAATAGTGACATAATTTTGAAAGTTTTGTTGCGGTCACTTTATAAATTTCCAAATATTTAACCTTCCTGTTTAATCTAAACTTCCTATTGAGTATTGCACTACAGAGATTTCTTACAACTCACGTCATTCTTTATAGATCTGAAGTCCTAAAATAAATATAAATAACTATACTATTAAGCATATTTATTTGGGAAAAGATATACATATTTTATATATTTGTAAGCTTAACATAAACTACTACTAAAACTACAAAAGATTTAATTAATACAAAACAAATATATACTAAAACTTCAGAAGGATTTATCTCAGCTGTAATAATAGCAAAAAGGAATACATAAGAGAAACTTCAAGGAATTCAAATAAAATATTATAGGCACACAAAAAGAGATATTTTACAAAACAACACATTAGATTCATTAGTTGGTTACATTAAAGAGTCTGGCTATAATTTTGATTATAAAAATGTTACTTTAAATAAGAGTGAAAGCAATTTACTAAGACGAAAATGTATAGAAATGCTTTAATCGCGAAATCATCGATAGTAAATTGGCGTTCATGTTCTTACAACATTTTGCTTTTCTTTGCAGGTCTTCTATTATCACAATGTGCGATACTTAACATAACAAAAGTGATAAATTCATAGACAAAAAGAAAGTAAATGAAATCACTCAGACCATATATCCAAACACATATTTGAAGAGAAATTAAATTTCAAAAAGATTCGAGAATATAGACGTTTTATGTGTCTTTTCCTTTCAGGACATGCGTAATCATTGTTTTTCAGCCATTTTTAACCTTTGTCCATCTATACGCCATCACGGATTATATTCTGTCTTTCTAATAGACGCATTACTTAAGTTATATATCCTGTGTGTATTAAATTCTCCAAGTCCTCTTTTTCTCATTAATGTCCCAGAAATTTCAAGTGTCCTTTATTATCCGTTTTTCCTTAAAACTTCCTGGATGTTCACAGACTTTGCCCTTAGCAACCTTGTGTAGAACCACATCTATGTTGCCTCAAGTCTCCTCTTCACCCATAAGGAAATTGCCGTATAAGTATATATATATATTGATTTTACACATCTCAGTACTCTTTTCTTTCATTCTAAGGTAATTTTAATATGACCCCAAAAATATACACAGCTTTTACTCAGTGAAAAATGCTTTGTTTCCAAAGCTTGTACTAATAAAAACCAACAGAGATATACGTACTAAACTGACGTGATTGCCATAAAAAGGAGCTGTGAGATCTTTTTTTCTTTTTTTTACATTGTCATGATTATTTAGGACGTAGGCGATCTTTTATTTATCATCAGTAAATTTCCATGCGTTTTGAGGAAATATAGTGGAGTGAGGCACGGTGGACAGCGGCTCGGATTGAGGAATCGGAGAGCCAAGTTCGAATCCCAGTCGAATCCATTACATACATTTATGTGGGAAAGTATGAATTTGGAAAAGATATGAATCCTCTTCATAGATAAATAGTAGGACAGACCGGATTCTATAGCCTTGGATGGCAACTGAGTTACCGCAAAAAGAAATGGCAACCTACTGCGGGAAAATCTACCCCATCAGTCATGTATCGAAGGCGTATTGCGCATGGCACGATTTACCACGGTTTGAAATTGAGAGTTTTCTTTCTCTGAGACTGCTTTCCACTTAGGCTATACACCCCAGTCTACCCTGTTATTCAATGAGACTGTCGTAAAGAGACAGATTCATGTCTTTTCCAAGATAATTTGTGCGAAAGTGTATCCAACAAATTAGCCAGGAACTAAACTCGTTATTCTTTATTCAACCCTGTGAGTTTAAATTCCTAATCATTGGTCTACCACGAGGTACAGAATTCAAGCGTCTCGCTGCTTCAGAATATGCTACTTCCACATGCTACTTCCACATGCTACTACTAGACAAGCTACTTCCACAGAAAATGTTCTGACAATCTACATTCCTTGGACCCGCTAAAACAAATCTTCACGGCAAGAACACGCTATGCCACTTCCATTCTAGCAAGCCACCCACATTCCCTCCGTATTCTGTAACTTCCATTCGAGCAGCTTCTTCCCTTGAAACACTGACCTGTGGAACCGGCTCCTAACAGGATGTTTCACCGATCAGTACAATCTTAACCTATTCAAGACTCGCGTTAAAAGTTATCTCCCACTCCTGTACACAAAAATGGCCGCCTAACGTAACACCTTCTACCTAGGATGGCCCCGGGCCTTGTAAAGGGTGAACCTTACTGTAAAAAGAAAAAAAAAAGACATAGGAACGAACTCACTACGCTAGTATGATTGATAGCGTGCGTAACCAACTGTTCCAAACGATGCCTCCCAAATCATCTCCTAAATTACTGCATTTTAAAAGTCCTCAATAGGAACGTGTTTTATGGGGGGTTGAATTAATTACTTTGTCTTAGCTCCAGCTCAGCGGGTATATTTTCCCAGCGCAACGGGTGGATTGTGGGATTGGACACACAGGAAATCCTTGATTTCCTATGTAATACGAAATCTTCGTTTAATTATTACCATCCACGGCGACTATTTAACAGTTTCAAAGGAAACAAGGAGTTCACCCTCCCGACTGGAGTCTGGCAGGATTCCCGCCACTATTTGTTTATCTCTGATTTCCCGGGGAGACCGTGCTTCTAGAAGCACCTGATCAAACAGCATTTCCGTGTTAGTAGCCAAATCAAGGAAAGGACACTAATGTGTGTGGACGAGGGGCCAGAAGAAACGTGGGCAACATGCTAAAATGAGTCTAATGAAAGAGGATTAGATAAGAAACAAAGTTTTAAAAACTGAAGACGGCTGAAAGATAAGCGGATCTTTAGTTAAGTAGAGAAGTAACTATGTACAGATGCGATGATGCGTTATATTGGCTTCGCTATATTGACAAAGTTTTGCACTAGCAAAAATAAAATAAAAAAAAACAGAAAATTGTGGGAGTTTGGGTAAAAAAAAACAACCTTTAACTCTCAAAATTGTACTTGCTTGGATATTGGTTAAAAAATAAATTCAGAAGGAAAAGAGTAAAGAGAAAATGTAGACAAATGACTGAATGATATTAGACGCACGGTACAATCTGAAGAAACGCTGTTTTTTTTGTAAAGTAAACAAAGCCGATGTGGAAGTTGTCGTAAACATATGAAGGAAATAAGACAAATATGGATTTACAGATAAGAGTCGTCATTTACTGATGAAAGAAGAAGACAGTGAAAAGATGTGACAGCTCGGAAAACAAATAAAACGAAAGGAAACGATGAAGTTAAAAGGCAAAATAAACCTGCGGGACAGTCAGACGTAAGAAGAAGAAAACAGAAACTGAAAAATTTGGCAAAGATTAGAGGAAATTGCATGTATGAGATTAGATCAGTTAGTCCGTAGCTTCATATGTAATCTTAACTGAATTTCATTTGAAATTTTCACTTTATAATGTTAATTCTTTGTTACTAATATTGCCTTCTGAATTAAGTACATTCACAAAGAATGATATTATGTTGAAAAATACATATGTAACCTAAATGTCTTATCATAAATAATTTGTGAATTTATATAGCGAATTACTAAGAGTAGCTTAGATATAGCACAAGGCCAAAAGTATAGAACACTCAGTGAGGATCGAACTCGCTATTCAGTGGTAACTGATCTCGCGAGACAAGCTTGCTAAACATTATACCACGTCGTAGTGCCTGAGTGATATACTATGCATAGCTTACACGTGGTACAAGGCCGAAAGTATGGCGCACTCAGTGAGGATCGAACTTACTACTTAGTTGTAATTGATGTAAGAAGACGAAAATGCTAATCATTAGACTACTTTGCGAACATATGTGTCAATCTTCTTTATTTGCAGTGTAAGCTCAGGACGTAAGCGATCATGGCTCTCCACAACTTCCTGTTTCTTATTCTTCTTCATAAATAACGTCCTGTTATTTCTCCTAAACACATTTCCGCCATCCATTTACTCAAGCTCACTAAGTATGTTATGCATTTTCCTATATCATTCTTGCCCTCTATCTGTTCTGTGAGTATCAGACTTTCCAAGCCTTCTTTCTACATTATATGTCTCTTCCTGATGTTAAGTATGTTTCTTTTTTGTTTCCACTTTATCTAACACTTCGTCGTTGTTTACATGTTCGGTTCATGGTATCCACAGCATCCTTTCTGTTGCTTCAAGTCACTTCTTCATCTTTGAGGAGATTGTCCAGGACTCACTGCCATACAGAAGGACAGATATCACATAGCAGTTTAGTATTCTTTTTCTTGTTTCTAGCGAAATTTTCCTATTTCTTAGTACTCTACTTAGTTTTTGGAATGCATCTTTGGCTATCCCAATACGTCTTAGGATTTCAATGTCACACTTTCCGTCCTCTGTTAAAACACATGCAGAATATTTAAATTAACGCACTTGTTTGATTTTTGTATTCACATTTGCAATTCACATTTTGTATTCACATTTGCAATTCACATTTTGTATTCACATTTGCAATTCACATTTTGTATTCACATTTGCAATTCACATTTTGTATTCACATTTGCAATTCACATTTTGTATTCACATTTGCAATTCACATTTTGTATTCACATTTGCAATTCACATTTTGTATTCACATTTGCAATTCACATTTTGTATTCACATTTGCAATTCACATTTTGGACACATCTTTTTGTTAACAATTATGCATTCTCTCTTCTTGTAGTTGATGTTTAGTCCTTTCTTCTCGCTTTTCTTCATTACATTCTGTATGGAATTCTTAAATCATTCCCATCGGATATAGTTTAGAAAAATATTAAATAGATTTCCTCCGTCTTGTAACCCTGGGATAATCTGAAACATTTTCATATTAGGGTCCGCAACAGACATGCATGATTTTGTGAACCGATAAATTTCCTCGACTAGATTGACGCATTCCGTATATTCGGAACAAAAAAGTTTTAATGGCTCAGAAGAAGTTTTTATTGGTGTGACCATATGCTGCTGTGAGGTCGACAAAAAGAGGAATGCAATTTCTTATTAGAGAGTTATATATATATATATATATATATATATATATATATATATATATATATATATAGTTAAGGATGTGTTTCGTAATCCGTATGGATAATTCTAGGGTGGATATAATCCATAGAGCTCAATGTAAAATTAGAGCAACTATTAATTATATTAAGAAACAGACAAATTTAAGGTTTAATGGTGATTACAATTTATTTCCTTAGAATTGACATTCAATTCTAATTCCTCAGGTCGACATTTTCATACAAATAATTTATATATATAAATAATTTATATACATATATAAATAATATATATTTATATATATATATTTATATATTAATATATATTATATACTAATATATATTTATATATGGAAATATATATATATATATATATATATATATATATATATATATATATATATATATATATATATATATATAGCTAGCAAAAAGTCGTCATATCGGTCAGCATTTAAGCTATCTGCTGCAGAGTGCTCTTGATTGGCCCTTTGGCTTGTTCAAGAGTTTGAGAGTCCCTAGCTCTTTGCACATTATCAGCATTGGAAGATTTACTCTCTGTTTGATCTGGTTTTTCATTTGCACGGGACTTTCTTTTTCCTCTTTTGATTGCAATCTGGTCCTCTGTTGGCGGAGATTTCTTTTTGAGAGGCATACTGCTGCCGCATGCGATAGGCAACATTAAACTACAGAAGAACTCAAAGTTGATTGCTGCATTTAAGTATTGCATTAATATTTAAAATACCTTTTCAAAGTTCAACAATAATTCTTCTGTCCTGACTTAATTTAAAGACAGTTAACCCCTGATTTAAAGACAGTTGACCCCTGAAATAAAAGAAAGGAAAGTAATGATCTGCGTCCATCAAACTGTCTTTAAATTAAGTCAGGACAGAAGAATTATTGTTGAACTTTGAAAAGGTAGTTTAAATATTAATGCAATACTTAAATTTCGCTGGATTTCGCAATTAATTTTAATTATTCCCCAAATTATTTCCAAGTTCTAAACATTATCGTACAAAAATTCGTCACAAAAAATTGCCGAAAACAATCGCAGTAATAAAAACTTGGAAATCAATAATTTCCGTAACATGAGCTATTGAAAAAAAGCTGTGTACCTTTAATTGAAAAAGTGTGTCACACTGACATTCGCATTTATTATATAGATATATGAGACGTATTCAATCATTGAAGAAGTAAATATTTTCTTGCTGTAAATATCTATGTCAAATTAGCAGATGGTATTATAGAAACTATAGAAAGGAATTTCAGACTTGATACTCTAATTAATATCCTGAAAATTTGCCGGAAAAAAACACGGCGGCATACCGACAGAAAACGAATTTAGTATTTACACAAAAAACAATAGAATGTGGTGTAAGACAAGGATGCATCTTTTCACCGGATTTATTTAACTTTTGCAGCGAGGCAGTTCTAACAGAACTACAAGACCTACTAGTATTTATTATTGGTGGGCACAGTGTTAATAGCATAACATATGTAAATGACACTTAATGGCGGACACAGAAAAAATAGTGGAAACTTTAGACAGGGGAGTAATGGAAAATAGAAAGAAAAGACTAACATTGAAACCAGAGAGAATGTATGGACTTTAGTTCAAGATGCGACCTACAAATTGGAAATGTCAAAATAAAGCTAGTACAGAAATCTAACAATTATAGGAAAAAAAATTTTAACAGACGATGTAAAATGTATCACAGAAATCCGAATCTGCATTGAAATAACCGATGATGACTACCAATTAAAGTATTAAGAAACAAAAATTTTTCGTTAGAAACAAAGAAAATAGTACTGAACTGCTATATAATATCTATCCTCAGAAATGACGGTGAATGCTAGACAGTTTCCTCACAGATAGATAGTGGACTTGAGATGGGGTTCTATGGACGGAGGCTGAGAAATCCATTGACGGAATGTGTGGGTAATGAGGATGTTTTAAAGGAAATGCGAAAGCAAAATTTACTTTTGATTAGGTCCAGTAAAAGACAGGTGACATTTTTGGAAAATATAATGAAGAAAGGAAGCTTGCAGGATTTAATGTTCACATGCTATAATGAATTCATGAGCGAAGATGGAAACAGCGAGTAATTTAACTAACGCTCTTGGGTAAAAGAATAGCAAAACATGGATTTGGTGAGAGAGTAAGGGTGCAAACCTTGCTTAGGGGTACGAAAAATGGTACGGAGATGTACGGATTTTGATACTTTGAGGAAAAATTAAACAGAAGATCTACTGAATCTTTTCCTATACGAACCTAATTTTCTTTTATAGAATATATGTTACATATATGTATGAGTGGAACAAGAGGTTTTGATTCTACTTGGATATTACTGAAGTCAATTGTCTTCCGTTGTACTGAAAATCAAAAGTACTCTGAGATTGGTAACGTCTATGTGCTTCGATTTTTTAATTAATTTACATCAGGCAAGACGGTAATACTACTAAGAAACAAAGGGAAACTGTGAGTGAAGGAGAATGAAAAGATTTTAGAAGAACCCGGAAATCCAATCCCAAACAGGAAATAAACCTCTTCTGATCAAAAACCGAGGAGGAATGTAAACCAAACAATCTTCAAAACTATCTACACCTATTTATTTTACTGGGAATGTGTAGAATCGTCATTTTTTGCTTTTGGTCAGCATTTTTACTGTAAAAAAATACAGATACAACGCTGTTCTCTTACAAATTGTACACCTGAAGAAGTCAGTAGATCAGTTGAAACTACATAAGCAAAGGAAGGCAATGATTTAGATAGGCTAAACAACGTATGGAATGATAATGATTTTCTTCAAAGTTATAGTATCTTTAAAGTGTTCTTATTGATATCTTTTTCATTTTAAATTCATCGTTAAGCATAAATCGTGAATTTTGACGAAACTAATTCAATAACGAATTCAATTTGTGTCAAGTAAGTGATTCATTTTCCCATGAGAAACCACGCATCCATTTGTTACTCAGAATAGAAAGAATTCAGGTTTCTAAGTATGTGTAATTCCCTTTAAGGGGTTTTTGATAAAGTGATGTAAAAATTGAAGAACAGACTAAAAATATGGAGATAAAAGCAAGCAATATTCAGAAATCTTCTTCGTTACGTATTCAGTGATAATTTTATTTACTTTTCCAGAACTGTACGTGATGTGCGTAAGCAAACACATTGCATCGGTGAAATTCTTTATAACTTTGTGCCTTTGAAAGGTAATCAATATGAAACAGATATCATTGAACTCAAAAAGAAATTCATATCTG